TTTCCTGTTCTTAAAGTGGATAAGCAAATAGGTAACACACTAAAGGATAACTTTTTTTGTTTGGCTTTCAAATGGCCCTCCCAGCTCACCTTCTGAACCAGGCTGCTCCTTTGCCTCTGCCTGAGTTTCGTCAGACTTGACTTCAGTGCCGTCTGCTTGTGTTGCCAAGTTCTGCTCTGGTGCTGGGCTGGAATTACTGCTGTTTTCCTGTTTTATTGGAGAAGCATCAGCTATTGAACTCTGGTTGCTATTGTCATCTGTGAACAGAAGAGTGAAAACCAGCCAAGATGTGACAAGATACAAAGCACACCTTAATTCTTCCGTATTATTCCCTGATAACATATGATATAATTAAGCTCATTAGGGATCAAGTCCAATCATTTAGACTCACACTACACATCCAACTTTTTTCCACACCAGCTTAAGGAGTTTTCAAGCAGTTACTAAAAATCTAATTCTAATTTCATACATTAAAACACAGTGTTTTACTCAGATCTGATGCAAAAAACCCCAGAATTTTGTAACATGAGTAAACCAGATCAACCAAATGGCAGTCTCATATAACACAGGGCTATGCAAGTTCATGCTGCACCTTTCCAAATACCCATCACTCCAATGTTCAGATAAGCAGATATTTTTGAATTGAGTCCTGAAGGTCAAAAAAAAAACAAACCAACCCAAAACCCCTTCAAGGTGAAATGCAACATCCAGTCCCAATATCAACAGTTTCTAGGTGATAATTGTCCAGAATATTCTCTAGCTTGGATCACAGTAATCCTCTGCAGCACAGATCTGTAGTTAACAGGAAATATTCTGCCTGTGCCTTCTCCCTGTGACAGTGGTTTAAGTAGCTCAGCTATTATTTACACATAGCACTGGGGTGCAACTTCCTTTAAGCCAGACTAGCATCCCTGGATAACCAAGAGGGGAGTTCCTGCTCCCTAAAGAAAACTAACCCTGCAAAATATTATGAATTAAGTTACTAGAATACAAGTCAATCCACCTCCCTCTGCATCTGTACAACCACTACATCCAAAGGACTTCAGGAACACAGAGGTGCTGCTGGGACCACCTCTCTCCAGAGCAGCCTGAAGTCAATTCAGATTAAGTTTATAACAAAATTGTACAGTGTGAAATTGTACAGTTAAAAACACTGGTGATAAGTGATAAAAAAGCAAGTAGTACATTCACCTCATGGATGAGAGAATCAAGACTTTAAAAAATTAAATTATCTGACCAAGGCAAAAGTAAAAAGGTTTGAAATAGATGAAAAATTAATCCAGATCTGCAAAACCCCTGCTCATTCCTTTAACTACAAGACCACACTTGCTGTCAGCACTGCAAAAAGCAACCATGAGGCAGCACAAATGCAAATAAAACTGAAATTAAAAATTTACAACCCACTAAAAAGTGATCCTCTCTTATCATCTCAAACAGTGCTGCGTTCTCAGTCATAATTGTTATCCAAACACCCAGAAGGTAAAAACCTGAAGCAGAGCTGAGCTGTGCAAGCTGCTCTGTAATAAACACCAGGCTAACACTCAAAAGTCACATATTAAAAAAAAAATTAAAGTGAAATAAAATTGACCTCATAGTGCCTGAATGGCAAACAAAAATGTTTTCTTGAGCAGTTAATTTCATCAAGCTGCAGCAGAAGGAAGGCACCACAGAACAGAGCTTGCTTTCTTGGCTCTTGCAGAATTCTCTTGACCTTAATCAGTAAGAGAGTTAATAAGTGCAAAACCTGCTTAAATTATAGTAGGTCCCACTGAACCTTTGGGGGATTTTTGGTTCTTCAAGCAGCAAACTCTGTTGAGGTATTACTGCACCTGAGTGCAGTGCTCTGAATGGTAGATATTTCTAATTTTATTTTCATATTTAACTCCACTAACAATTTTTTTCCCTTACACTCACAGCCCAAATATAAATGGCATTTAAACAACTGTTAGTACATCCACAGAAGAGAAGTCCAAGGTACCAAGTGAGTATCTGATGGTGTTTTCCATTTGATTCAAGTCCATACATCAGAGCAGTGGAGAATCGGAGGCTGTTGGTTTACACTTTCACAGCAGTGTAAGAGGGGAATTGGGTCTGAGCTTCTCCCACTCACCATGCATGTCCATCATCCCTGGGGAGGAGCTGTTCTCTGGAGTGGTCACTTCAGAGCCACATTTTTCATCTTTGCCCTTTTTCTTATTCTTATTTTTCTGAAAAACAAAAGGCACCACACACAAATGAGACTACGGCCATGCAGAGAAATCCACGCTGCTGTGCAAAACCCTCCCCACTCAGCACTTCTGTAAGAACAGCTCACAGTCCCAAGTGAAACCTCCTCCTCCTCTACAACTAATGCTGTTTTTTCACTAAAACTGAAAGATGGATCAAGAAAAATCAGATTGAGCCAAACCAAAGAGCACAAGCAGCACAGCCCTGTGTGAGCTGTGGGTCCCGAGCTGCTCCCAGCCCACCAGGATGAAAACAAAGGAAAGGACCCTGGCATCCATCACGTGGGGGATCTGTGCCTGCTAAGGGATGCAGCATTTGCAATTAGGAGCTGACGTAATCAGCCTCACAGGAAAAAGAGCCAGCTGCACTGCTTTTGGAGATCCTGCCTGCTGAGGACACAATTCAAAGCCTGACTCCAGGAAGAATGCTGAGCCCACCCTTTTGGACAGAGACCATCCTCCAGTGAGGGAAGGAACTGAACCACAATCAAACACTGTCTGAGACTGCAGAAGTAATTCAACAAGTGATATCTGGAGGGACTTTTCTCTCTATTTTAAATAGATTACTAAGCTTATTTCTAAACTGCATTTTTACTTAGAGAAGCCAGATTTTACTCACTGATGCATGAGAAAGAGGTGAGAGCACATGGACTTCTTTACCTTTGCAAAATTAAAGGTCAGAGGGGTCACGATCTTTCTCAGGTTTGGTTTTGTTGTTTTTTAAAGGTAAAAAGGACACTTTTGCCACAAAAGAAACACTGAAAGTGACTGTGAGCAATTTAAGCTGACAGGTGTTTTTTAAAGAGGTTTAACCATCAGAGTGATGAGGTTCCAGAACAGCCTTCCACAACCAGGAGGAGGAAGAACCAATCTAATTGTAGTGCAGAGAAATGTCAAAATATCTATGGAGCAACATGTGAGGGGGGAAGTAATTTAATTTCTGTTCACCAAAATCAAAGACAACTTCCACTTGAAATGGGGGAAGGCACCGCTCTCCTATTTTAGTGAAAAGCAAATATACTGTCTGGTCCTTCAGTGGATGGAACTGGATATAAAAAGATGTCCACAACAAAATTTAATAGACAAAATTATCCCTATCTGGTACTTACTGTTAAAATCTACATGCTTATGTGATGTGTGAGAACTTCCAGAGCTGCAGGACAGAAACACTGCCAACATCAAGCCTGAAACAGCTTGAACTGAAACTGCAGCTGCACAACAGCCTCTACTTGAAATAAAAAGATCATGACTGTAGGACACCAGCATAACTGGTCTTAAACAAGTGTCCCAATTTCAGCAAATCTGGAGCCTCAACCTAGAGATGATGGCTTAGAAAACACAATTAAACTCTGCTCATAGAAACCATTATATAAACCCATTCTTCATAATAGAGAACCTGACTTTGGGATTGCAGTGACCTTGAAAATTCCTCCAGAAGCTCACTTAGAAATTCTGTTTCCAAGTCCCACAGCACCCATCCTGCAGGCACAGCTGAACAGCAGGAAAACTGCCAGAAGCCCTGAGCCTAAATATCCTAAACCCTGCTCTGCCTCTCACACAGTTAGCACAATTTCCCCCCACTATGAAGTATAAATAATAAAATCAAGACCAAACATTTGACAACTAGAAAGAATGGACAGTTTCCCAATTCCCAAGGGGGAACTTGAGAGAGATGCTGCCCAAGCACTGGAAGAACCCCTGAGGTTTACCACAACTCTGACAGTTCCTGAAATCTGTGGGACAACCAAAGCACAGAAAAAACAAACTCAGTTAAAGCAATCCTAATAAAAAAATAGGTCTCAAATTTGGAGTCAGTAAGACAAGGTCTTGTCTGAAAAACCACCATTTTACACATCTATTAATATAGAAGCTTTCTTCCCAATAGGTCTTCACTCATATTTCAGGTAAAGTAAAAGCACATGACAGCCCAAGGAAAGAGCACCAAACTTAGGATATGTTTTCTATTGTGTCATTAATTTACTGTGGTATCGTGTGTTAGTGTTCTCTCTATCACAATATTACAATTTATAAGAGGAGAGCGACAATAATTTTAAAAACCAATTTTAAGTCCTATCAACTTTGATTTTTACGTTTCTTTTTACGCCACACAAACAGTGCACACAACAGGATGCACAGACAGAACATTTGTCAAGAAAACACACATGACAACAGAAGCCGCTGCATTATTTGGCTGGACATCTTAATACAGATGATCCCAGCTCCACAGGATATTCCTACCCTCATATCAAGTGTTTTCCATCTGATTTTGAGCAAAACAGCAGTGATGCACACACAGAATATGTTCTCTGCCCTGTTCCAAACCAGCTGCTTTCTTTAAATCACCAGGCAGAAAGAGAGGAAAAATTATGCATGTCATAACTTTCCCTCCCTGCCTCCCAGTTACTTAGAGAAAGGTTTCAAACTCAGTTTCAGCTGCACGTTTAACAGTTATCTGAGAACTGATCCCAGCTGACTCCAGGGAGACTGTCGCACACTCACCCATCCACATCACTTGCTGTAGAGATCAACATCCCCCTGGAGCTTGCAAGACCCACACCAGCCCTAGCTTAAAGGCTCAATGAAAATCAAAGAATATTTCTTTTGACTTTGCCTAAACAGGAGCATCTACATCTGGAAAAAGCAAGACACTGCAGGATACTTACATCATCCACTTTAGGCTCTGTTACTGGTACCCATTTGTAAATCCTTAGGGATGTGTCGCCAACTGTCACCCACTTCTTCTCCCTACAAAATTACAATGCAGGAGAAGTTACACTTCAGATTCAGAAGAGAGTGATCTACTATTGTAAGTTGTCAAGAATTTAAACAGGCTATTAAGTAGGATGATCTCTATTACATCGTCTTTAGCACTGCATTGTGCAAATTGTTCTTTGCATTTCACAACTTGCTAGAGCACTGCTAACCTCCAGATTTCTCAGGGCTGTTACTTGACTGGGTGAGTAACTGCAGTAGCAGTAATAAGATCTGGATTAAAGATAAAGTTAAGAAGAACAGCAATTGAAAATGCAGATTTAATGCCTACAATTTTCACTTAAATTTCTAGACAGCAGAAGAGGGTTTAGACAGACCAGTGTGTTTTTGATTGTCATGAAGCTGTTTAATGGGATTAGAAATCTAGATGCATTTTGACCATCTGAGGTTTATTTGGGGGGCAGAAATTTGCTGCTGGCAATTTAATGCTCACTCCACACCCCTGACAGACAGCTCTGCAATTCCAGCTGTAGGACCAACAGCCTCACAGGGAGCAAACCAGTGCCGTGGTGCAGAATGCAGCCTCTGGAGAGCCCAGCTCTGGGGAAAGGCAAGGCTGAGCCTAGCAGAGAGGGGAAAGCACAGCCTGGCTGCTGTGTGCACACCCTGCCAGCCTGAATGGTGACACTGACAAAAGGGGAAGGAAATGTGGCTGCAGGGCAGCTCTGCCTGGGGCTCCCAGGGCTGGGGTGGAGAGGGATGCTCGGCTGAGGGATGCACTCCTTGAGCTCTGCACATCAGGGATTTAAAGAAGGTCCACAATGCCAGAGAAATTTCATCACGTTTCTGGGATCAGTTTTCAGGTCACAGATTACCACTGCTGGTTCCTGGGTTTGCAATGCAGCTCTGCAAATGGATCGATTAAAAGTTAACAACAAAGACCGATTCCATTAAATATTCAGGAACATCTGAAATTAATTTGGCATGAGATCTCAGGCTTCTTTTTTTTTTTCCCATAAACACATTTAAATAATAGATTTGGGATCCAGTTATAGATTAAAAAAAATAAAAAATGTTCTTTGCAGGATGGGAGAAGCTGGATGTGACTCCAAATACATATATTAATATATATGTGATAGCTCCATTTTTAGAAAGGGCCTCCAGAATCAAAAGCAGCCACACTGTACAAATGTCACAAACATCCTCCTGACTATTTGTTTTAGCTACTAAAGCCAATCTTACATTTTCCCTTTAGAAGAGGCATTTTTTCCTGTTTAATTAAGAACAAAAGCAAAATTAAACTGCATATAAATGTATTTGATACATTTTGGCTCTGTCCATAATGATATTTTAATTGAAGTCCAAGACTATTTCAAATTAATTTCTTTCCCACTGCTCTTCATGGAGCAGTGCTCCCTCAATGTGTTTAGACACAGCCATTTGGGTACACTAGGTGGCTAAAGTGTGTCAAAATCCAATTTCACTCTAATTTGGAGCTCTACATGCGATAAAAATGACAGTGGAGATGAGGGCATGTCAATAATGAGACATACTTAACTGTGAAGAGATGATCATGATATAATTTGGGGTTTTTTAAGGATACAATACAAACTAGATTTATTTCTACTTAAGAAAACCTTTGAAATTATGGAAATAAAACCAACTGGGGTTTTGTTTTGGGTGTGGGGAGAGGTGAATAAATGTGGGTTTTTTTTTTTAAAAATTAAGATTTTAGTCTTTTCCTATAGCAAAATATTACTTAGAGATGCTGCACTGGAAAACCAAAAGTTCAAGATACCTGTTAGCATCTCAAAGCAGCCTCACACAGCATCTTCACTGGACAGACTGTAGAACACAGGAGGAAACCTATATTAGTAATTTTTTCCTTCTAGTATTAAAGTTAGCCCTGACATTTTAACTCTTCTGAGCTTCTTACCACTTTAAGTTTTGATAACCCTCAGCTCTAGGGATTTTTTAACTGATTTCAATACACAGTAATTCAGACAACAACGGGAATAAGAATATTTTGTGATGGAAGTACACCAACATCCCAGTCCTGCAAACACTTATGGCTAAAAGAAAACCCAACATCACAGTGCTATTATGCAAATATTTTACTTGTGTAAGTATTTACAGTATTGACAGTTTAAGACCATGAAAGTATTAATAAGAAAAAAAGAAGACAACCTCCTCTAAAACTTAATAAAAGCATAGGTAGCACAAACACAAATTTGTTAACAAAGAAACGCAATGACTTTCAGACATTTAAGATCAACAAGGTAAAATCATTTCAAGATTTATGACATTCATTGCAAATTAAGCTTAGAATATTATCTGTAATACTTACTGCCTTACCATTTCAAAACAAAACCCAAAATCCAAACAAGCAAACAAAAACCCCAAACCCACTTCTACTCTGAACACTCACTTTTTAATCTTTTGTGCAAAGACACCATCCCAACCTGCTGATCAGGGACTTTCCTTTTCACTCAGTGAGAACTGACAATTTACTGATGCTGCCCATGGCAGCGAGTTTGGGAAAGGCTGCACAAATCACAGAAGATCCTCACTGGCCCAGTGCTGGAATAGGAATGAGGAACTCATGAATTCTTGTGCTCAGTCTGTTGTGAAACCTTAAATAGTTTCTTCACCTGTTTTCTTGTCTGCTGCACCCACCCCAAGATCCTGACCAGAATTCCACCCCCATCACTCAATTCCACCTTAGATAAGTGATGACTGAGCAATATCTGTAATTGCACCATCCCCTGTTATTCTCTGAAGGTTGGTCTCTGTGTTGATTGCTGGATGGGGAAAGATGGCTAATGGAACACCATCAGCCTGACACTTTAGCAGGCTAAAAACATGGCAATTATCAACTTTAATTTTCTATGTCTAGCTGATAAACTCCACAGTTTTACAAAAAAACCCACTTTTCCTGTTTTCAAAGCTCTCCTGTTTCTCCATGAATGACTCAGAAGTAACAACAGAAAATGGCAAAACTGAAATATATACAATAATATTTTTTCTTTTAATCTTCCACACTGAGAAGTATCTTCAATATTTTAGTTATAGTAAATTCAGAAACTAATCAGTGCAACAGAAACAAACCCTTACATTTATCTGAAATTGTGTAAAAGCATTTTTAAATTCTTAACTATATCTGCACAGCATTTAAAGGACAGCCAAGGGTACAAAGGGTAACCATTAGTATCAACACTTCTTCAGTGCTTATGCCTGAGGCATACTAATATCTCAGAACTTACATCATTATATACTCAATTCCCCATTCTAAATAACCCAAGACTCTCAAATATATTTATACTTTGTTTAATAACACTAAAGCTCCACAGATGAACATCAGATTCCACGTGTAAAAGTAATATATGGGTGAGCAAACACAACAGTGTATATTACACTTATACAGAAAGTGTCAAGGCAGCTTCTGCAGCAGCAGTGAGTGCCAGAAACATTTGATGGCAGAGACACAAGAAAGCCTTTACTGCCAATATATCACTCAAGGAAAGGCTTTCCCACTTGTCTGGCCTTTTCCCATGACTACCATTCATCACAGTGAGCTGCATTTACACACGGATTTGCTCCCACATACCCCATCTTCTGCTGGTGATCACGAAGTGACGTCATAATGCTGAATTTATCACATCACACTCACTTGCATTGCAACAGAGTTTGGTGAAAATCACAGAATTATGACCTCCCTGTGGGATCAAGCAAAAGAGAAAGGGGATGGGAAAGAATATGCCATTATTATACACAAAAAGTGCTGTCAGATGCACAAAAAATGATTTTTTTTTGAAGCGTAGGCTTGCTTTTCCGAGCACGCCTACTGCTGAGAAGATGTTTGTCTAGTGACTAACGTGAAGGAGCCCCAAACACACATGGTGTTTATTGAACAGGCTGCAAATACAATAAAATGCCATGCAGAGAGACTGGACAAGGGCATGTGGTCACAGACACCTTTTCTCCGGGTTTGTCTGAGTAGAGCACATTTGGGGAGTCCCCTGGAATGTTCACATGGCTTAAAGCAAGCCCTGCTTGGCTCCACGTGGCCACAAGCACCTTGCTCACAGCAGGGAGAACCACGGCTCACAGATGCCAAAACTCTACCTTCAGCTTCCACTGAAGTCAAGAGAAATAATCACAAGCCAGAATAAAGAAAGGTATCGTAATTCAAGCACAGTAACAGTGTGTTTGGGCCACTACAGAATTTCAGTGCATTCCTGCACATACACTGGGTATTTTTACTTCAACTGCCACTGCTTGAACTACAGTCTTAGGAGAAAACCCAACACAGACAGGCTAAAGCAGGGAGGTGATCTGGGAGCAGCAAACACCCTTTTCCAAAGACATCTTGTTAAGGAATTCTGTGTCATGACTCCTTTTCAGAGCAAAAGCCTATTTGAAGAAGGAGGCATGAGCAGCAAAACCTGCAGAAACTCAATCTCAGAGCACTACATACCACACAAAAGCATTTTAGCAAATCTGAATGGAGACAGTGAAAGGAAAAGCTACAGCAGCACTGCCTAAAAATCCTAAATAGCCACAGCTCAGGATCCCAGCCAATGGCACCAGGTAAAACAGCCTGTGGGGAATTTTCCCCTCAACCTTCTTCAGGTACTTTCACCAGTTGTCCAGGTTCACCTCTTCTTCCTAAGGTGTTATCACCTGACAGATCAGGGCTTTGATGGATCAGAAAAAGGACAAAGGACTCCTGAGAAATACTGCAATTCAAAGGGAAGGCAACACAGTGGGATTTCCCTAAAGTCAGGCTTACCTATCTATCCCCACCAGGTATTCCAGACCTCCATCCTTACAGGTCTGCACAGCTGTCCTAAAGTCCAGCAGTGCTATGTACCCACACAAATTATTTCACTGCCTCCCAAAACATCTTACCACTTGTACTTTCCTCCTGCTCATTCCTTGTTTCAGTAGATGCCTGTATTTTCCCTCATTTAATAAATAAAACTTTGACACAAACCAAGAGTGCCTTCAGTATTTTTCTAGGGCTGGTTGAGGGCACAACAGTTTTTGCCCCTCTCTTCTTGAGAGCCCACTTGGAATCTACATGTACCCATCAACCTTTAAAGACAAAAAAAAATCCTGTGCCATTAATTGAGACAAAATAATCTCAGAGGATTTTTTTAAATAGACTGAGAGAAGAATTTTAAGTACTGTTAAAGAAAGGCAGAACTGTTCTCTTACTGTGGAAATTTAACACTTCTGCCACACAAACACAAGGCAACCATGTATTCTGTAAGCCACGTGCTGCGTGTTTTCCAAAACAGATGCTCATTCATGAGCGTGGCTTAAACAAAGGAGATAAGGTTACAGTAATCTCAAGATAAAAACGTAACAACTTCACTGTTTACTACTAAGTTCCAGCAATAACCAGAAGTGCCACGTGCTCTGTGAAGGGACAGGAAGACAGGGGACCTGCATCCAAGCGCTGGCTGTCCAGGAACACTGATTTTCTGAGGAACAAAGTCTGTCCTGATGGAAGCTGCCTTCCAGCAGGCACATTCCCAGATGCGGCAGCACAGGGATTCAGGAGCACCAGGCACAGCAAGGTGCTGCACACCTGCACAGGTGGATAATGCCTTGGATAAAGGCACCGTCCGCTCGGATGAGTCCACAGCCTCATGTGTCTCCCTGCCCATCCCGGGCACGCACTGCTCCGACCACACAAGTCTCACAAAACTCCGTTCTAGGAAACGTCGGATGCAAGGTATTTTAATTTTCAGTGGCTGCATTTCCACAGAAGAGCTGTGGATGGCAACAAATTGCTCCTATTATGCAAATGAAACTGCACACTCGGAAATTGCCGATGTGGCTCTTCTGAAGGTGCAGGAATTGCTAGTGTGGAAAGTTCAATTTAACAAGCCAAGTCTTCTCAAAACACTGAAACCACAAAACACAGAATCCCTCTAGCTAATTTCCCGCTGTATTTGACTGCAGGTGGAGGGGGGTAACCATGAGATTCACCTTCAAATTATGGTTCCTTTAAAAATAAGAAAATTGCTTTATGTAAATACTTGTGAGGTGAACGCACAAAGTCTTATCAATACTTCTGACAATAATCAACAGAAACACTGCGTGACTGTACAGGAACCCTCTATAGCAAGCTGTCTATCATGAAGGCTAAAATGTAGAGAAATCTATTTATACCATAAGATTTCTGTTTTACAGAAAGAGCCATAGCAACTGGCATGATGGCAGAGAGTCCTTGCCAAGAAAAAAAATAAATAAATTAGGTATTTTGTTGAATGGCCAAGCTTCTGTCTCTACTCCTCTCTGAATTCCACAAACCAGGATTCAAAGGGAGCGTGCTGCGCTCATGAATGAAATACCTACAGCCAGAACAGTCCCACACATCCAACCACGCTGCAGCTGGAACAAAAGTCCTGTCACACCGCTGCACATTGTTCTGACCTTCCAAAGCCGGCCCAGCAGTCAGCAAACTGCACTTAAAAACAACACCCGAGTAGAAGAGAGTTCCTGAAACCACCCGAGCTGCGGAGCTGGGGCTGCTCCGGCTCCGACACAAAGGCTGGATTCTTTGAAATCCCCATCCCGTGCCCGGCGTTCCTGGACACACGTCCCGATTCTTTGTCCGGCTCACGCCAACGGGCCCATTCGTGTGCTCAAGGCCATTTAAAACTTAACAATCCATTTCACCCCAATACGAACACGTTCAACTCTGTATTTTGCTCTTTTTTTAACGAAAACAAAGCGTTAGCTGAGGAGGACAATAGAAGTGTCCCCTTGATTTCAAAGCTTCACACCAGCTGAGTGATGCACAGTAACAATAACGCAAGGGATTTCCCCGTGGATTCCAAATGTTTAAAGAAAGTATTTTAAGATACATGCACAGAGACTGCTGAACAGTCAGCCAACTTGCTGGAAGAAAGATTCACTCTTGAGTCACACCGGCACTGCTCTTTATGCCAGCCCAGATCCCCGGACCGACCATGCAGAGCACGGCGGCGACCGCCGTACTGTATTGTTTAAACACCTCGCGTGGGTTTTTCTAACAAAAGCAGGGGGAAAAAAGACAAAAGCGGGGAAATGCCAAAACGCGTGGAAGGCCTAACAAAAGGGACTTATTTCACACCGGGTATAACCTTTAATTTTATGATTTAAGAGAGGTTCCAGGGGCAGCTTGCGCTCTCTCCGGGAGCGTCCGTGGGAGACGATCGCGCTCGGGTTCGCTGCGCTTTTACGCGCAAACCCCGGGAACTTGCGAGGTGAAATCAATCCACAAACAGGCAACGACAGAAAATAAACTCTCGGGAGCCTCACAGGGGTACTCTTAACGTGTTTTCTTTTTTTCCAGAACACTTCTCCGAGCACTATTTCAACCCAGGAGAGCGGGCGGCGGAGCCACCCCGGGCCCGCTCCTCGGGCCCTTTGTAGGGGCCGGCGGCGGGAGGCGCCCGGCCCGACCCCGCCGCCCGCCCATGCCCGAGGCGCCCGGCCCGGGACCCGCGCCGAGGGGCAGCGGGTCGNGGCCGGTGCGGGGCGCGGGGGGACGCGGGCGCGGGGTCCCGGCGCGGCGCGGCCCGCTCACCATTTGCGCACTTTCTCGATGGCCGCCATCACCCGCTTGATATCATCCTTCGCCCGGCTCCGGGTCTCGGCCCGCACCGACCGGCCCGACATGCTGCTGGGGGGCGGCGGGCTCGGCGGGGAACGCGGCGCTCGGCGCGGCCGGCGGCTCGGTCCGTGTGTCGGGGCGCCCGCCCGCACAATGCCGGGGCTGCGCGGGGCTCGGCACGGCTGCGCTCGGCGGCTCCG